AAAAAAATTAAAGCATTTATAGGGGTTAATTAAAACCAAGAATGGAGGTTCCTTTATCAAGAGTATCTGTGATAAAAAAGAAAAAAACATATTGTTCATTTTTCTAATTCTGTACCATTTTGGTTGATAAACTAGTATAATGGAAATTGACCTACTGATTTAGACAAAATCATCATTTCCCACCAAGATAAATGAAGAAAATATATGCACTGAAGATTTTCTCTGTTACAAGGAAGAACTTTTGTTTGTCTGGGGTGAGTAAGTTGCCTGTCAAAGGTTTTAAGGTTAAAAAAAGGGCTAAGTGCGTGTCTGTAACTCTCAGTTTTGGTAACCACTGTGTCTCATTTCTACTTATAAAGTAGATTGAATCAGTATATCAGTTAATATGTTATCCATGTCATTGTCTTTCCGTCTATCATCTATTCATCCATCTATCCATCCATCCATCCATCCTTCCATCCATCAAATTTAATCAGCTATTTATTCACCTATCAACTATTTATCTAGCTATCTAATCTAACTTTTTAATCTATGTTATCTGAGCATTTATGATGGGCAGATACCTAGATATCTCTTTAAATGTGTAAAATAAATCAATTAAATGTGTAATTGATTTCTAAGACATTGATTTTGGTTTTGACTTTTCTAGGAAAATAGTTTCTCTTAATTAAAAGCGAAGATGATGGCTTTTATGTCACAATTGCAAATGTTCTGTACAGATTGAATTTATATATGTATACACATATATGGATTAAGTTAAATTTATTTGATTGATTAGAAATATTACTTACTTTAGTTTTTATTTTATGTTGTGGCTTAAAAATTTCTTTTCTTTAATGTACTGGGGAAAAAAATGTCTTCTTTCTCTACCCCTTGCTCTCCCCTTTGGCAGACTCAAAAAAGAAGATTCCTTATCGCTCTCTTCTTAGTGCAGCTAAGTGTTTTCCTATAAGCCTGTATTGTCTAATAGAAACAAAACATGAGTCACATACATCATTTAAAGCATTCTAGTAGTTACATAAGGAAAGTCAAGTAAATAGAAGAAATTAAATGTAATAGTATATTTTCATTAACCCAGTATAACAAAATGACCATTTAAAGATGTAAGCAACACGAATACTATAAGACATTTTACATATTTTTTTCATGCTATGTCTATACTAACAGAGCATTTCAAGTGGGATTAACCATGTTTCAAGATGTCAACAACCCATGTGACTACGTAATGGTCAGTCCCACTATGGAATGTTAATTTCTTGATAAGGCCAATTAAAAGCTGGAATGTCAAGAACTGTTCAACAAATTAAAAACTTTAAAATAAATATACAAATGATCTCAAATTGTTCAAAGATATGTGTCCTATGCCTCCCCCCACCTCTTCCATTAACTAGCCATGTCATCTTAACCTACTCCTCCTTTATCAGTCAAACATGAGGACTGGGTTAAATACCCTGGTTCTATGGAAAATATTGAACAGATAGATTGTGGGTTCAACCTGTAGCCTCAGGCTCTGTAGTGGCAGACAAGGGGTGCTTGCAAGCATGGCCCTGATCAGTGGCATAGGTATTTTGTACCAGCATTAAGTTGCTATAGTCCAGTCCTTGGTTACAGGCAGCAACTAAGTCTCATGGTCTATTCAAGATCAGTTAACTTTCATATTTAGATTCCTTTACTGGACAAGTGGCTGCAGATCCACATGAAATCAATAAATGGCTAGTGGATTAGAACTGATCATGTGATAGACTATGGTTCATAGATGTTTTAATATTCTTCTCTATTGATATATGTATTTTCCATGTTTGTATCTATTTTATGACCATTAAATAAAGTTTGGGGAAATGGAAGCTTTACTGTTGACTGACCCATGAATATGGCCTTCTTGAAACAGAAAAGTGAATGGCCTTAGTGAAAAGATCTAAATCTTTTCACCCTTTCCTTGAGATCAGTGAGAACTGTGGAGATTGGCACCATTTCCCTCTAGGATCCTGTCTCTGAAGTCACACGGGGAGATATAAAGGAAGACGTAGTTTGTATAAAAGGGGTTTGTGCAGTATTCTAAAGCTAATTGATGTCTGGAAAGTGATTATTTTTTGGAGGACCTAAGCACACAGGAGCTTTAATTAGGCCACCTCACATTAATCTCTCTCTCTCTTTCTGTCTGCTCTCAGCTTCTAAAGCTGAGGTCCAGTTTTTATCCTCATCCAAACGGAGGAACCCTTGGAGAGGGAAGTTTTCCTTCCTATGTCATCTGTATCAGTGAAATCCAGTTGTTTTATTAGCATCTTTCTGTCTTGAATTTGGGGTTTATTTATCTTCAAAGGACACTGACCAGCGGATAGTGATTAATGTCTGTGTCTCTGTATCTAGAGCAAAGCAAGCATTCACTCAACTCTGACACGTGAAAGTCCAGCTCAGTGACTTTCCCCTTTTGTATAAACTAGAATTTGTCTCCCTAACCCTCCCACCCAGCTAGCATCTCTACCACGTACAAGTACACACATAAAATCAGTGAATTTATGTCACTGCCTGTGCACCTCCCTGCCTGTACACCAGCCCTCTGTGATGGAAAGGAAGGTCTCTGGACTAATCCTGACACCTCAGACAGGACTGTACTTCTTTCTGGAAGCCTCTCAGGACTGTATGGCTTTCCTAACTGTAGAATGAATAGGAGGGCCACAAAATGTAAAATGGATCTACCTGTTTTAGTAAAGTCTGTTTGTAAAACAAGAGTAAGTTGGAATTGTTGAAGAATAGAAATGCTGGTCACCTAGACATTGAAAAGAACCTACCTTTCCCAGATTATCATGACAAACAAGTCTTTTTATATTTTTATCATCTGAGATTTACAGTCTGTGCATCTCACACTTTGTTCGCCCATTCTTTTATGTGTTAAAGTCCTCTAACTACAACAGCACTTTCTAGGTGCAGAAGTAACTCAGGTTGTCAGAGCAAATATTTAACATCAAGAATGACAATGTAGATATAGGAGAATTTTTAGTGATCTCGGAGTAGGCAATAATTTTTTAAGGATGATCCCAAGCTGGGATACCAAAGAGGAAAGAAAATAGTTCCAGGAAAAAATAATTAATATCAAAAGACAAATACCACTTGAGAAGAAATACTGAAACATATGTTAAATGATGTCTAATTTCCTTAATATAGTGGGGCCTCAAATGTTGTGCACATTA